ACGTGGAGGAGCAGCGGCTCTACTCTGAGTCCCTCCCGGATGACCGAGCTTCTCACCCTATCTCTAAGGGACAGCCCATGTTAGAAGTAAGATTTTAAATTCTATTCTGAATTTGACAGGGAGCCAGTGGAGTGAAAATAAAACTGGAGAAATATTATCTCTTCTTCCAACTCTCATTAAAACTCTAACAGCAGCATTTTGGATTAACTGAAGACTTCTTAAAGAGTTTTTTGGACACCCAGTTAATAAAGAATTACAGTAGTCCAGCCTAGACGTGATAAACACATGCATCAGTTTTTCTGCATCATTTTTGGACAAGATGTTTCTAATTTTAGTGATATTATGCAGGTGGAAGAAGGCGTTCCTGGTAACATTTTTAATGTAGGGGTTGACTGACCTATCTTGATCAAAAATAACACCAAGTTTCTTTAGAACTGGAGGCCAGATTAATGCCATCCAGAGAAGGTGAAAAGCTGCAAAGTTGATCCCTAAGATGTTCAGGTCCAAGAACCAGAACCTCTGTCTTATCTGAGTTTAGAAGCAGAAAATTGGTTTTATGTCTTTGTGCTTGTAGTTTAAGTAACTAATTAGATTCATTATGTTTCATGGATAAATATAACTGAGTAACATCATCAGCATTACAATGGAAATTTATCCCATGCTGTTTAATAACTTTACCAAAGCATACAGTATATAAAGTAAAGAGGATTGGTCCAAGCACTGAATCCTGAGGAACTCCATGACTAACTCTCGTGTAAGAAGAAAATTCATTATTAACATTAACAAACTGAAATATGTCAAATAAGACTTAAACCAACTATTACAACACTGTACTTTAGCTCAATTCATGTAAAGCTGACAGAGCTTGCTAAATTTAGTTAATTGTAGCTACAAGACATTTTACTAACAGACTAGTGCTTACTCTAAAAGGTAATACAAATTTCAAGCAAAAGTGTTGTGTAATGTGTACATTTCAGTTTATGTGTTGAAATCAGCTCTCAGCTATGGCCACATCACATTTAGATCAACACTATCTGTGAAACTGACTGAGTTAAAGCTAGTTATGAACTTCATAAGGTGACTTTCTCTTTTCAGCAAAGCATCAATCTTCATTGGGGTTTTGTTCAAACGTTAATCACTTGAAGATGCATACTTTTACTTTAATACTTTCTAGGAATTTTATGAAAAGCAGTCAAGTGGTTCATGGTATATTCTGCTAATGTAGAACATTATTGTCCTTTGGATAATTAAATGTTTTTTTTGGTACATGGACTGTACTTGTATAGAACCTTTCTGTCCAACCAGGATACACAAAGTGCTTTACAATCTGTGTCCTCATTTACCCATTCATACAGCACTCTACTAGATGTCTCTACAAAGCTAACACAGGTCTATAGAGACTAATCAGTGCTTTGAAATCACATTCATACACTAATGAAACACACATCAGAGTCAGTGCGGGTTCAGTGTCTTGCCCAGGGACACTTCGACATGTCACTGAATAGCAGGGAATCAAACCGCCTACTCTCTGATTAGAGGACGACTACCTTAACCTGCCACAGCCGCCTCTATTTTCTCCAAATTGAGCCATTTTAAAGAGCTATCTACAAGACAGTATGTTAATGTTTCATAACGTTTTTTTTTTGGGACGCCACTTTAAAATGTCCAAAATGCCCCTTTAAAGTGGCAAAACCGAATAACTCCAAAGTGGATATCTTTTTTAGCACACAAGTGGTCTGACTAATTGTATCCCTAACGATATCAACTGGTGCACATCTTCTTTGTGCACAAGCTTTTTTCATTAGAGGACTTTGGAAATATAAACTAAATGTGCCACTCACTCTTGAAAACAACCCAGCTGTGTTTTAAAGTACCAGCTTTGGTTCTCATGAGTATCTGAGGTCCTCAGATGAGGTTGTGAGTTGTGGATTATAAACGTGCAGCTGTGCCTTGAGGATAGAGACGTGTGAGAGGTTCCGGTCAGAACGCTGAATGCAATGAAGGCTGAGTAATCTCTTTCGCCTTCTATTTCTGGATGTTTGGCCTTTTACCTATCTAGATCACACTAATATCCTCTCTGCCATTAAACACTGAACCAGGATTCTGCACCAGAGAGCACAGATTCAGACCAAGAGAGAGTGAGAGAGAAAGATGGGGTGGGAGGAATAAGAAATGTGAGCAGATGGGCAATCTATGTAACCGAGGTAACTTGATGAAAAAAGAAGAGAAACAAGAAGGGGAGAAAAGGGTGGTTTTAAAAAGGTAGAGGAAAAGTCAGACAGATGGATTTAGAATAAAAAGGAAGGAAGGGGCAGATGGATAAAAAAGGGACTGAAAGATTTACAGATGGAGACAGGCGTTCTTTGCTGAATGCATCTGTGAATATACATACATGACATTTGTAGAGCCACTGTCCACATTGATGTGGATTTACCCCCCGACAATCCCCCAGTGGCGTGTTTGGTCCAATGAGTTAATTAGCTGCATGCATCAGTACACATCCTGGTCCCATATGTATCCTCCACACCTGGTGCCATTCCTCTCATATCCACTGAGCACATCCTATCTTAGTATAATTTATCCCTTTCACACACTCAGGTTGACTTCACTTGCCAGACAAATAAAAAAAAGTGTTAATGAGTGATACCTGCATCAGGACACCATGCTAATGCTGCCTGAAGGTGTCACAGTGAAATTCTTCTGTTTCGGATTTTTCCAGCTGCACACGGATATGGACAGAGGTGATGGACGCACCAAGTACGTGCTGGAGGGGGAGGGGGTCGGCTCCGTGTTTGTCATCGACAGCAACACGGGAAACATCCATGTCACCAAGTCTCTGGACCGAGAGGAGAAGGACCAGTATTGTCTTGTTGCAACAGCTTTGGACCGTGAGACGGGCCAAGCCCTGGAGCCATCCTCAGAGTTCATCATCAGAGTGCAGGACATCAATGACAACCCACCTGTCTTCCCCAATGAGCCTTACGTTGCCATGGTGCCGGAGATGGCCAACATAGGTAGGGCCTGTACTCATGCCTCAATCCTTGACAGGTGGAAAATGCCAGACGTGTTTAAAAAGAGTCTTCTCCAATTCGATTTTGTCCACATTAATTTACCAGATGAGACTCGAGTTCAGTCCAAATTGACCACTAACTTCATTAAAGGCCTAACATTCCCTAAAGACATGCACTGTGCCAGAGTTTTAAACTCAGACCATCTTATAAGGAGAAACGGTGGAGTTGTGACCAATTCGGTCAAACCTTGAAAATATCATAATGTGCAATCTCACACATTCAGTAAAGGTCTCACATGAGCTTTTAGTGCTCAGAGTATGTCGTGGATGTCGGGAATGTACATCCAAGGATCATTTTCTGAGAATTTTATTAAAATTTGTCCAGTAGTTCATGAAATATTTAGCTAAAAAGCAGACACAGACAAATAAGACCTTTCCTCTGAGCTGTCTAGGGAGGTAGTCACTGTTGGATCAAATACTGGAATCAGTCCAGAAAAGACCTACAGGGCATTTAGGGTGGCTTCTTATGTGGTAAGAACCAAACAAGAATAGACAAGAGCTAAACAGTTAGCAGCTGGTACAGTTAGAGGGCAGAAATGCTGCGCTTCAGTCAGAGCTTGGACACAGGGCATACCTCACACACTGTTCTTTATTTATTGTAATTTAATTTATATTATTTTACGACATTAGTAAATTATATTGTTCTTAATAATTTAGTCTGAAAACTCACGAGCAAGGGAAAGAAAAAAAAGATGTTCCTTACAGGACTGTATATCTGGTTTCTGCAATATCACAGGGTTTACAGCTAATTATTAGCAGTTAGGTTCCATGAAAAAAATATGGAAAAACTGAGTCCACAAACTGTGGAGTGCAACTTTGTGGGGCTTCACTGTACACACACAATGACCACATTAACATGCAAACTTAATCCTCTATGGTATGCATTGCGGTTTCTAATAGGAAAATAATATTTGTGATATTTTTCTTGCTTGAAATAAGTAACTATAACATTCTCAACAAAAAATATTTTTGTTAAATACAACTTTGTTGCTGCGAGGCAACATAGTGGTATTCCATACAAACCAATTTGATATTGTCATGCAAAAACAAGAATATACTTTATATTTATTGTAACCATCAATTTCTTGAACCATACATTAGAAAAAAAAGCAGGATTGTCTAGTTGCCCATTCATTGCACATTTCGTATTACATATTCATATCCATCTGTTGCTCTCACACTACAATCTACTGTCATAAAACACAAATATAACCAAAATATCATATCAATTTAGCATATTAAAAATTACAATCAGGGTTGTTTCAAGGCAGAACATTATTCATGCCTTTATCCCAATATGCACCTTATAAAATAAAGATAAATGTTAACTATGTGCTAATTTGACCCTGTTTGTATCCCAACTTTGTACATCTGAATGGATTTTTGTTATTCCATTATAGTACAATGGAATTCCCACATTATATTTGATAACTTATCATAAAATGACTTAAAAATACTAATTTACAAACCGCTGAAAATGGTTCATATTTAAAGTGATATTTTGTGTAAAAATGAGTGAAAAATGCACATTTCTGCAGAGGAAATGTGGGGCTATGTGCTGACAAAAATAGGAAAATCAAACACTTTGGGTTGTGTGGCTGCTGCTTCACATTTTTATTGTTTAGTATTTGCATTCCCTTCCCCTGAATTAGCATCGACCACTTAAATGTGTGTCTCATTTTACTTTAAATGGCTAAAATAGGCTGATGTTGCCTGGAGGCAGCACAGTACCACAGAGGGTTGAGTCAGAATTGCTGTTGTATTAATTTATCTTTTTAGATATTTGATATTATATTTGAATATTGCTTAGAACTGCTTCCTTGATAGCTGCCTGATCTTACAGTCACTTCAGGAAGTAGTCACACCTCTTTCACTTTTTGCAATTTTAGATTGAGGCCTCAATATTCTACATGGAGTACCCTCTAATGACAAAGTGAAAACAGCTGTATATAGTCCTGATGCATCTCAGTAATCCAGGTAAAAAATCAAAAGGAAAAAAAATTGTATAGGTCCTCTGGACGGGTTCTTCTTTAATGAAACGTTTCGTCTCTCTTCCAAGAGACAAAATGTTTCAGCTGTATATAGATTTGTTCATTTCATTTCAAACCTTTTACATAGTATTTTTGCTGAAACACCTTTAGCAGTTACAGTTTTGAGTCTTCTTGGGTTTGATGCAGTAATCTTACCTGAATTGAGGGACTTCTTTTTTTCTTGCAAATCTTCTGCTCAGTTTCTCTGGATGGAGAGTCAGTGGACCAATATTTCATGTCATTAAAGATGTTTAAAATGGTTCAAGTCAGAACTCTGGTTGAAACAATCACAAACATTCAGACGTCCTGAAGCCCCACATACGTTGTCTTCTCTGTGCCCTTTAAGTCATTGCCATAAAACTGTTTAAAACTCAGAGGTAAATTATTTATAAGCATGTTTAAAAACTAAATGAGTTGACCAACACGCTGTGTGCACCAAAAAAAGTCAGAGAATCTGCAAACAAATGAGATGATAAAAGAGTACAAATCAAATAGCTCATTAATATAACATAAATAAAGCAAATATACAGAATAAAAAATGAAAACAAATGATGTTATAACTCACTCTAGTTCAAATGTCAAAGAATAAAAAATGGGTGAGTTGTGTGAGTAGCAGGTGTTGGTGGTGTCGCTGTTTAAACACCGAAAGAACAAAAGCTTGATCTTTGTTGATCAGTCTGCTCCTCAGTACATCCACCAGCATCTGCTCACCTGACATCATCGAACTGTTAACAAACAAATAAATCTTCATCTCATTTCTAATTTAAGCTTTAGTCCAATCTGAGGCCTTGCCAGTGTTGTATAAAGTACCACAAAGTGATACTTGAGTAAAAGTACAATTATCTTACCAAAAAATTTCTTTGGTAAACGTTAAAGTCTCCTTTAGGAATCTTACTTGAGTAAAAGTATCTGATATTTTTTGTACTTAAGTATTAAAAGTATTGATTTAAAATGAGCAGTTAGATTTTCTGTA